TTTGTGCTGCCCCTTTTTCGTGTCCACAGCAGGTGCGGTGATGCGTTGTTGGGAAGCGAGGACGAGGACAACAAATTGTGCAGGTGGACTGCATGTGTCATCGCGTCTAGCCACAGTGTGTTTGGCAGTCTCATCCCCAGGAGCAGCTTTCGCATCGTCGTCTGCAGGGTCCGGTTCATTCTTTCTGCGACTCCCTGCTGCTGGTGAGCGTAGGGTAGAGATACCAGACGCCTGATTCCTCTCTCTGCCAAGAAGTTTCCTGAATCGTTGTGACTGGTACTCCAGTGCCCCGTCTGACTGAAAGCTTTTTAGTTGAGTGCCTAATTCCAATTCAGCGATGGGGAGCCACGTTGTGAAGGCTTTGAATGCTTGATCTCGTGTCTTGAGGTTGTAGTGCCAGACGTATCTTGTTGCTGCATCGATAAACGTGATGACATAGTTGAAGTCGGCTTCATCGTCGTCTCGAGGCATGTTTAAGATGTCGCTGTAAACTTTTTCCAACGGTGCGTATGCAGGTGCGCTTGGGTTGTGATGTGATGGAAAAGGTTGGTGGGGAAGATCGGCTTCGGGGCACGTAAAGCATCGAGCGCGTGGTCGTCGAAGTTCTTGGCCACTCGTTGTAAGAAGGGCGTTTCTTTCCAACACTTCGGCTTGGATGGTTTGTAGCACTGTGCTGTTTGCAGGATGTCCGAGGCGTTGATGCCAAATGTCGTCGGGAGCGCGATGGCCGGGCGAGCGTTGGTACATGTCGGTGTTGGAGAAGAACGCGACGACCGTGGCGGGACTTTGGCAGACTTCTCGTGTGATGGGCGTAAGTTGATTTGCTTCGGTTGGCGGTCCTCGGATTGCTGGTGATGGTACTCGGCTGGGTCCTGCTGCTGCTACTGCAGGTGATGTCGGGGAAGGGACGCTTGCTGGTACTTGTCTTTCTTGTCGAATGACTGCTATGGCTCGTGTTCTCTCTGCTGCAGGTATGGTGTTGGAGTACCAGAATCCATCTGGGGTGAAGTCGGGGTCAAGATCCGGCGGGTGCGTCCAGGCGGCGAACGACACGATGCCATCGCTGTCGGCAGTACCGCGGTCGGGGACGAAATCCAACACGAAGACACCTGACTTCAGGAGAGCGCGACCGATGAAGAGGCCGCCCTTTCCGTGGTAAAGACGAAATTCGTTGGCGTCCGAATCGCATTCCAAGTGAATCCCTTTTTCCATTAGTTGACCGACGCTTAGCAGATTGTATCCCAGGTTGTCGACGATTAGAACCTTGTTGAGTTGCAGTATGACATTTGTCTCCATGGACTGCAACTGAACCACTCCTTGTCTGTTTGTTTTCAAGTTCTCGTTGTTGGCGATGGTGATGATGACATCGCGGTTGAGTCGTCGTTCTCGTTGCACGAATCGTCCGGAAGAACACATGTGTTGGCCGCAACAGCTGTCCAAGAACCAGGTGTTTCGCCCGGTGGGTTCGGCGTTGGCGACTGCAGCGTACGTCGGGTTGACCTGAAAGCCTTGTGAGCGCGACGGCGGCAGTTCTTCTTCGTCTGGTGTGTAAGTGGGTGGTGATGCGGGTGCGCAGTTGTCGATGCGTACCATACAATTGATGATGTTCGGTGTGCCCTGTGCAGATGTGGAGGAACGCCTTGGCGGACTGTCTTGGGTGGAAGCGACTTGTGGGTCTACTGGACGATAAGCTCGGGGGCGTGTGCAGTTAACCTTGGAGTGTCCGGATGTCTGGCAGTTGTGGCAGAATGGCGGTATGATGGTGAGTCCTCTGGTGTCGTGTCGATGCTGCATGTCACGTCGATTGTAGTTGTCGTTTCTTCGTTGAGTATAGAAGACTAACGGTTGCTGCTTGTTTCTTGGTTGTCTTTCTTCAAATAGGTCCATCTCCTGTTGTTCAGCATGAATTTCGGCGCAAAGGTGCATCTCCGAAATTCGTCCGTGGGCACGAAGAAGCGAGCGGGTGGTTCTCCATTCTGGCCCGAGCCCGGCGAGGACAAGTGTCACGAAGCTCTCTTCAGTGATTGTACCTCCGCACCGAAGCAGGCGGCCGCGGAGTGTCTCGCAGCGACTCATATACTGCATCGCCTTCTCCTGGGTCTTCATTTGTATTGTTGTCAACTGCTGCATGAGTCTACTTTGTGCCACGCTGTCATTCGCCTGGTAGAGGCACTTGAGGTAATGCCATGCGAGTTCCGCTGAGTTTCCGTAGCTCCGATACGTTATGATGCTTTGTTGTTCTTGTGGTGACAGGTTTCGCAGGAGAACTGTGTACGTCAGCAGCGACTGATAAGTGAAGATTTCCTGCTCCTTTGCAGTGCCATTGCTTGGAAATGGCAGGGACCCGTTGAAGTATCCCAAGAGATGCGCAGCCTCCATCAGCAGCTCGAACTCGAAGCTCCAGGTAAAAAAGTCGTGTCCGTTGAACGGTGAGGATGTTTGTAGTTTGATCACGTGTGAAAACTGTGCTTGGAGGCTTAATATCTCGTTTGGTGTCTGTTGTGATGCAGCTGCTGTTGGTTGGGCGCGGGGTGGCATGAACTCGAACGTCCCCGGTGAAGAGTGATAAGGTGCAAAGGTAGGCGCTTGATTGTGTCGCCCGAACGATGAGTTGTCGAGGCTCATTGGCGCTAATCCCATGTTTCCTCCGTTGCTCTGTGTTGAATGCGCAGGTGTCCTTGTCTGTTGCTGCTGGTCGAAGTGTGACATGAAGCTGAAGAACCTTTCCATAAGGTTCGGATCCACGCTTGAAGAGGGTGATGGAGTCACCATTTCTGGTGTTCTTCCTGTTGTTTCTTGAGCAGCGCCTGTCCCGGTTTGCAGTCCTGAAGTGTGTAGTCCAGAGTTGCCGGGTTGGGTGTCTTGGGCGCTGGGTGAGCCCGTCGAGATCTTCTTGCCCTTGTTGTCCATGACATACAGTGACGGAAACAATTGTCCGGATGTTTTGCATTAATTAGGGTTTTCGAGCTTTCTGACCAGTGTACATAAATATTTAATATTTAATGGTGGTACGCTTTGAGAGGGGCACATAGTGGATGTGTTCATAGCGCTAAATTCCATAATAGTACACTGTGTCTAACTTAGTGCCAAAAGATATACAAAGAGTACATCCGGACAATTATTTCCCAGGACAAAGAGCAAACTTCCGAGCAGCGTTTCTAGTACCTAGTCCATCAACACTTGGCATTGATAACCACCTGCACCCTCCTAGGCATGTTATCTACGAGGTTAGTGCAAACCTTTATAGGGATCTTCTCGCACTCTTCCTGGACCCACCCTTTAACATAAGGGGGTGAGCACAAGGAAAATCGCGAAGTATTTGAACGTATGCAAGAGTACAATGCATGATTTCATGTTGAATGTTATCTCTGAGACTAGCCATGCTGAGGTGTGGCCAAAGATGTCATAAGTCGATTAGTCCCATCTTATCATGAATTTTCTTCGTCGTACTGTTATAGGGTAAAATTACGAGCAGAGTGGCGAAAACTAGCGTGTCCGCCACGAAACATAGGGTAACATAGCACGGTCGATTGTGCACCCATTCACTAATAGAATCGCGTTAAAATCTACGGGTCTCGTCACGGTGTAGCAGCCGAAAAAGCCCCGACTGGTGGGGAAAAATATCCGGGTTCAGGTCTGGTGAGGAAAGAGGGTCACGCAGGTGCTAAAAACTCATGCTCTCCAAGCCATTCCAAGCCAAGGCGGGACACATGGATTAGAATGGCTTGGAGAACACGAGTATGTTACGCTGGAGTGACCCTTTTTCTCACCAGATCTCAACCCGGATATTCTTTCTGAATAGTCGTGACTTCTTAGACTGCTGCACCGTGACGAGACCTACGGATCCTAGCGCGATCCTAATAGTGCAAGGATGCACTGTCGACCATGCTATGTTACCCTAAGTTTCGTGACAGATACGCTAGTTTTCGCCTTTTTGCTCGTAATTTTTACCTACAACGGTACGATGAAGACGATCCATGATAAGACGAGACCAATCAACTTATGGCATCTTTGGCCACACCTCAGCGTGGCTAGTCTTAGAGATAACATTCAATATGAAATCGTGCACCATATTCTTGCATACGCTCAAATCCTTGGCGATTTTCCTAGTGCTCACCCCCTTATGCAAAAGCGTGGGTCCAGGAAGAGTGCGAGAAGATCGTTGTAAAGGTTTGCACTAACCTCGTAGATAACATTCATAGGAGGGTGCGGGTGCTGATCAACGCCAAGTATCGGTTGACTAGGTACTAGAAACGCTGCTCGAAAGTTTGCTCTTTGTCATGGGAAACAATTGTCCGGATGTACTCTTTGCATATCTTTTGGCACTAAGTTAGATCCTGTGTACTATGATGGATTTTAGTGCTGTGAACACATCCACTATGTGCCCCTCTCAAAGCATACCACCATCAAACATTAAGACTTTATGTACAGTGGTCGGAAAGCCCCAAAACCCTAATTAATGCAAAACATCCGGACAATTGTTTCCGTCACTGTATAATCGATGAAGCTTGTTAAAGTATTAACTGTAGATAGAACGTTGTTGTTGGGAGTTTTGTCTCTGACCAGCTCTCATACCATGTTGGGCTGAGAAAAAGCCCTTAGGATCCTTCAGAAGTCCTAGTTGTACAAGATACTTGAGTAGTGCAGCGGAAGTTGAGTAGTTGAACCCTTGCACTAGTATGTGAGAGCAAGTGATTGATTAAAAGAAACAAGCATACAGCGATATATAGAAAGCAAGAAATGAAGCGGTTGTAGAATACAGTTGAAGGAGCAGTTATCGAGTCGCACAGCGACTCGATTGTCGGTTCGGTTACCACCCTTGCAGTTGCAACGGTCAATCGCAACCTCCGGTTGCGACCCTTTGTGTCTCGTCGCCCTTTCGTATTCTTTCGTCCAACCTCCTCGTGTAACCTCCGTTGACTCGCATACTCGATACAGCTTCACTCGAGTGTGGTGTTAGGTTACAAGTCCTTGAGGTATTTCCAACAAAAACGAGCATGCCATTTCATGAAAATTTATATACACAAGGCAAAGCTCAAACCTCCAGAAGTAGAGTAGATATTGAATTATATCATATATGCACCTAATCGAATACCGATCACATATACAGTAACTAGGCCCCAAAGTACCAGATGAGGTCCTCATCCATGAAGGGATCAAATCCAAAGTTGTCGAGAATCGGAAGATTCTGCACCATCATCATTCCATCCAGCTGCCCGTCTCCCGCCTCCTGCCCCCCCCCTCCTCCACCTCCACCTCCGCCCAATCCATGCCCCCCATCCCCTCCCCCTGCTCCCATCATTTCATGGTGCATGTGGGATTCGCCTTGCATCATCATAGTGGTCATTGCCATCCCTGAGCCTGCCACATTCACTCCTCCCCCTCCGGTTGCTGCTCCTTGCTCTGTTCCCTGCACTGGAGTTGGCCCTGACTGCTGCTGCTGGTACTGCTGCTGCATCTGAAACTGCTCGTACTGCTGCTGGTGATACTGCTGCTGGTGATACTGCTGCTGCAGCTGCTGCTGCGTGGGTGAATGCGGGTTCCAAGCCCCATGTGCATGTGCATGTGCTTGTGCTTGTGCTTGGGCTTGGGCATGGGCATGGGCATGGGCATGGGGATGGAGGTGTGCATGGGGATAAGAATACGCCACATCATACGCACCGTCACCACCACCACCACCACTGGCATGCTCCGTCTGCTGCTCACCCCGCTCCCCCGCTGGTAACCCTACAGCCAGGTTCAGTAACGACCAGCGCCCCTCTCTCTCATCCCCTCCTGCCCCTCCTCCCCCTCCTCCTGCTCTTGCTCCTCCCTCTGCTACCGTCCCAGCTGTTGCTTCCCCCGCCTCCCCCCCTCCTCCTCTTGCTTCCAGATTTCTGTCCATGTCGCTAACCGCTGCATCCTGCTGTGCAGTCGAATCAGCACCTGCCACCTGTCGCCCTTGCCCACTCCCTCCTCTCATCCTTCTTCTGCTACTGAAACTCATACCTCTCTCTAGAACAGCAGGGGGTAAAGGCTCCATCTCCTCTCCCCTCCCCCCTCCCCTCTCTTCTTGCTCCCCTCCTCTCTCCCCTCCTCTCTCCCCTTCCCCCCCTCCTCCTCTCTCACTCCCCCTTTCCTCTACCGAAGCTCGGCTGTGCGTCCTGCTGCAACCTCCCTGGGAGTGCTCCCTAATCTGATCCTCCCGAGCCTGCTCCTCAGGTTCGGCCCGAGCCAGAACTTCAGCCGGGGCCCGAGCCTGCGCCTGAGCCCGGGCAGAGGTTGGTGACCGAGCCTGCGCCTGAGCCTGGGCGAAGGCTCGGGCATAGGCTAGGGCTTGCGCGGGGGAGAGGTGGAGACGGGGAGAGAGAGAGGGGCGGATGGGGGAATTAGTGGGGTGAGTATGGTGAGGGGAGGGGTTGTTGGGGGAGAGGGAGTGGAAGAAGGGGGAGGGGGGGCGGATGGGGGAAGTGGGAGGGATTTGGGGGGAGTGGAGGGGAGAATGTGAGGGGAACTGGGGGGAAGGGCGGAAAGGGGAGCCGGGATAGAGGAAGTTCGGGGGGAGGTTGAGAGAGGGGCGGGGGGAGGTGGCGGAGGGGTGGGGGACCCCCCCTGCTTGATTGTGGGAGGGAGGAGGGTTGAAGGGAGAAGAGTGGTGGCCTAAGTGGGGATGTGAGGGAGGGTGAAGGGAGGGGTGAGTGTGGGGTGACATGGCATGGGGTAAAAGGTAGGGATTGGGGTGGGGCATCTGAAGAATGCGCGAGGAGTGTGAGAGAGTGTGTGGGGCGTGTGAGAGAGTGTGTGAGGGGGGAAGGAGAGGTGTGGGCCGGCATGGTATAGAGACAGCTGGGGCATCAGAATTGGCGTCACTAGAAGCAGCGGCAGATTCAACCCCAGTAGTAGGAGGAGGAGGAACAGCAGCAGTGTTGCCAGCAGCACCAGCAGCAGAAGCAGAAACACTAACGCCCGCACCACCATCAGCAGTTGCTCTTGTAGCATCCTCTTGCCCCTCTTGCTGATTCACATGCTGCTGTTGCGGCTGCTGCTGCTGCTGCTGCTGATGCTGCTGCCGCTGCAATGTCCTCCCCTCTTCTCCCATCTCTGCTCCCTCCGCTACTCCTCCCCCTCCTTCTCTCACTGCCTCTCTCCCACTCTGCCACGTGGCACCCTGTGACGAGCTGCGAACAACAATCTGAGGGCGACTGACATCAGGGTAGGTATGTGAATGTTGCAGGGAGGTGTGTTGTGGGCCAGGTAGACCAGAGGCAGGCGTATGTGGGACGTGGGAATGCTGCAGGGGGGTGTGTTGTGCACCTGACTCGGGGTTGCAGGCAGTGAATTCGGGCAGCTGCTCCTGGCTCCCTGCAATGCCGAGGGTTCCAGAGATAAGCTGAGCTGCTGCGTTTGACAACCCAAATGGCTGCTGCTGCCGCTGCTGTAGCAGTTGTTGCTGGTGCTGCTGCTGTTGCTGCTGGTGGTGGGTGTGCCGCTGATCCTCTCCTGCTGCTGCTGCTCGTGCTGCTCCTCTTACAGCTTCTGCAGCTGGTGCTGCTGCAGCTACGGTTGATGCTACGGCTGCTGCTCCTTCTGCTGTGACCAGGGGTGCAGTACCCACCCCACTCGCCTCACCAGCAGCAGCACTAGCAGCAGCACCAGCAGCACCAGCAGCAGCCACAGTGGCATCGTGGTTTTCTTCATCCATCCGGCTACTATCGGCACCCCCAGCACCAGCAACACCGGCAGCAGCAGCAGCAGCAGCAGCAGCAGCAGCAGCGGCATCCCTTCCCCCATCTGTGCCCCCCTCCCCGTCTTCCCCTAGCATTTCGCCTATGTCCGCCTCCTCTCCCCCCTCCAGCACCACCGATGCTGCTCGCACTGCAGCAGCGGTACCAGCACCAGCACCCCCAGAAGCAGCAGCAGCAGCAGCAGCAACAACAGGATTCCTGTCAACAGCAGCAGCAGCAGCAACAACAGGATTCCTGTCAACAGCAGCAGCAGCAGCAGCAGCAGCAGCAGCGGTAGTGGTAGCAGTAGCGTCGGCAGCAGCAGGAGGCATGGTTGCTCTAGGTGCGGCAGCAGAGGCTGCTGGCTGTGAGGCAGAACCAGATGCAGACGCAGATCCAGCAGCAGCAGCAGCTCCGTTGGGAAGTTGTGCTTGTAACGAATGGGCTTGTAACGGGTATGCGTGCACGGGGTGTGCCTGGCCTCGTGACCGGGATCGAATAATGGTTGGTGAAACAAGCTCCAGTCTAGCCGTATTGGGCTCATTAGGTCCGGCAGGATGAGGTCCGGCAAGATGAGGTCCGGCAGTATGACCCCCCGGACCGAAGCTGTTGCTCAGGAGCGGTGCTCCTAGAAGCATGGTCTGGGGTGCTTGGTACGAGCCCATTGCCGAGCCTGGGATGGAGGTCTGGGATGGAGGCCCGGCAGCAAGGTTCGGCAGAGACTGGGAGGGGATGAGATGGTGGTGTTGGGAGTAGGCATGAGAGTGAGTGTGGAAGTGAGGGGGGAGGAGGTGAGTGTGTGGGGACAAGTGCGGGTGAGATGTGGCGTGAGGGAGAGAGGAGGAGAGAGAGGAAGGGAGCGAGGAGGTGTGATATGGGGCAACAATAAAGGCACTCGCTGTTCCTGCTGCTGTTGCTGCTGTTGCTGTTGCTGCTGCTGCTGCTGCTGCTGCTGCTAATGTGTTGGAGGGATGAGAAAACGGGGCTACCGCTATGCTTGAAGAATGCATGAGTTGCCCCCCCATGGGTTGATTCACATCACCAGAACCGGCCATATGGGGATAAGCAGGACCGTCTTCAGCCATTGATTGCATCTGCATCAACGGCAGGAACAGCTGCTGCTGCTGCTGCTGGTTTGGATGGTGGTTCGGGTGGTGGTTCAGGTGCAGGTGTTGGTATGGCTGCTGGTACATCTGCTGGTTCGGCATTACCATTCCTGAAGCAAAGGCTTGGGACAGATGTGGTGCCCCTGCCTGCGACTGCCATGCCAAATTCTCATGCATACTAAGTGCTTGTCCTTGTGCTTGTGATTGCGCTTGTGATTGTGCCTGAGCCTGTGCCTGTGCCTGTGCCTGTGCCTGTGCGTGTGCGTGTGCGTGTGCGTGTGCGTGTGCATGTGCGTGTGCGTGTGCGTGTGCCTGTGCTTGTGCATGTGCCTGTGCCTGTGCTTGTATGGGTTGGGATGGCTGCACGGAAGTGACTAAAGCGGGAGTGCCCGAGCCAGGAGTGACCATACCAGGGGTGGTAGAGGGGGAGGTGATTGTACCAGGAGTGACTATGGCAGGGGTGGTGGTGCGGGGAGTGGCAGGTGGGGGGAGGCTGATAGGAGGAGCAGCGGAGGGGAGCTTGAGAAGGGACGAGTAGGACGAGTGGGGGCGAAGGGGGGCAAGGGAAGCAGCATCAGCGCTGCTGGTAGCAGCACAAGTGGCAGCAGCAGCAGCAGCAGCAGCAGTAGCATCAGTAGCAGCACCGTCAGCACCAGCAACAGACGCAGCAGCAGCACCGGCAGCAGAAGCAGCAGTAGCACCGGGAGCAGAAGCAGCAGCAGGAGGAGAGGTGACACAAGCAGCAGCAGCATCCCGGTAAGGGCAAATAGTTTGATGGCCGTTCCGGGCAGCCCGATCAGGAAAACCGCAGCCTGCCCGGCTCCTTGGGCAGGTCGGGAACGGGCAGAAAAACGTTCGGTTATCATCTTGTGCCGGGCCGACGTCCAAAACATAAGTTCCAAGCATGTGCACATGGGGATCGGCAAGTGGATGGGCATGGGGATGGGCATGGGTATGGGTCCCTCTTCCTACTCCTCCTCCTCCTCCTCCTGCTGCTGCTGCTGCTGCATATGACGCTGCTGAAGCTGGCTCCAAACGTGCCCCATGCACTTGGCCGTTGCAGCAAGCGCAAGGGACCAGCACTTGCCCAGCACCGTCCTGCACCGCACTCAACTGCGCAGAACCGTCCTGCACCGTACTCAACTGCGCAGAACCGTCCTGCACCGCACTCAACTGCCACGCACCGTCCGGCACCTCCCTGACAAGCTCAGCTGTCTGAACCGCAACCAGCGCCCCTCCTTGGTCCCTACTCCCCTCCCCTCCTCCCCCCATCACCATCACCCCCCCGTCCTCCACCCTTGTCCCCACACCTGCACTCCCTTCCACCCCTCCTCCAAGCCCCCCCACAGCAGCAGCAGCAGCAGCAGCAGCAGGGATTTCGGCTCCTGCCATTCCCCCTGACATCCCTCCTCCTGCCCCTACCCCTGCCATTCGTCTCTGCCGCCTCTTCTTCTGTCGCTGTCCATCACTGCTGTATGGATCATAATCCTCCTCAATATCCCACTCATCCCCCTCCTCCTCCTCTCCTCCTCCCCCTGCTCCTCCTCCTCCTCCTCCGCCCCCTGCTCCAGATCTCTCTGTTCTCCGCTGCCCGTTTTGCTGCCCGGCCGAGCTGGTCGCAGGGCCACCGCCGGCCTCAAAAAGCTGCAAGTTGTTTGTCGACCTGCCTGCGGGCAGGCCGTTGGAGCTTCTTTCCTGCCCGACCGCATTACCAGCACTGGCAGTGGCAACAGCAGCACCAGCCCCAGTCCCAGTACCAGCAGCAGCAGCAGCAGCAGTACCAGCAGCAGCCACAGTGGTAGGGAGTTCACCGTTTTGAATCTTGATCGCGCGTTCTTCGTTGTTCAGTATTGCGAGCCATATGCTGGTCTCCTGGGCCGACATCTTGTTCTGGTGGCAGGGGAGACAATAAAGGGGACAATCAGAAGGAAGTGGGATGAGAATCGGGTCGGGCACAAAGAAACCGGAAGGAGAATCTAAACTTGAGGCGCCTCAAAACGAGAATCGGGTCGGGCACAAAGAAACTGGAAGGAGAATCCAAACAGAGACGACAAAAAAAAAACCATCCCCAGCACAGCCGCCTTGGCCACTTTCTCCTGGTCACGAGGAGAGGTACGGAGAGGAGTGGAGAGGAGTGGAGAGGAGTGGAGAGGAGTGGCGAGGAGTGGCGAGGAGTGGCGAGGAGTGGCGAGGAGTGGAGAGAGAGACCACACCTGCAGGCCCTTATTCTGCCGAATAAGCCGCCTTATCTTAGCCACGTCCGGCAGCATGTGCTTGATGACAGTCGCCAGCACAGCCGCCTTGGCCACCTTCTTCAGATCATGCGGCTTGCGGTAGGGCGGCAGGCAGGATTCTCCGCCGCCCGGGCTGGTGATCTGATTCAGCCCCAGCCCCTGGGAGAGCGCCGCCCACCACGGCTCGTTGCCGGAGGGCCACCAGGGGGGCGCCACGCCCTTGTCTAGGGGGAACTTGCGCTGGGGAGGGGAGCAGTGCTGTGGGTGGGGGAGGGGGGGAGGGGGGGCGAGAAGGCAGGAGAAGGGAAGGAAGAGGGGAGTTGAAGGGCGAGCCCAGCAGGGTGGGAGTGGAGAGAAGCGACCCCAGCGTTGTATCTGCAACTCCAGCAGCGAGTGCAGCGGCATGCACGTTGGATCCAACCCCTACTATCTCCTACGTACGAGCAACACCTTTTCTTTTACCTGCATAAGCGCCGACAGTAGAGACCCCAGCGTTGTGTCCTGCAGTTCTAGCAGCGAGTGCAGCGGCATGCACGTGGGCGCAAGCCCCCCTCCCCCTCCCCCGCCCTCCCCCCCGCCGCCCCCTCCCCCCATCGCGGCCGCCCTCTCCGCCTCAAACTTCGCCAGAGCTGCCGGCCCGTTCTTGTCGAACCTAACCCGGTCCTTCCACCAGGCTCGGAGGTTGTCGGAGCTGCCGCCCACGGGCTTGCCCGACTCGGGGATGACGCCGTAGACGAACCCGCGCGCATGACACAGCTCCATCATGCGCAGCATGTGCTTTAAGATACCATCTTGGGCTCTGGCCATCCGCTTGCGCATGGCAGGCTCCTGGGGCATAAGTGGGAGAGGTGAAGGGGAATGGGGAGGAGTGAGCCAGAAAGAATCTCCTCCTCCTTCCACCAGGCGTGGAGATTGTCAGAGCTACCCATCACGCCTGGTGGAAGGGAGAGAGAGGCTCGGAGGTTGCCGGAGCTGCCGCCCACCGGTTTGCCTGACTCGTGGATGACGCCGTAGACGAACCCACGCGCATGGCACAGCTCCATCATGCGCAGCATGTGCTTTAAGATCCCGTCCTGGGCTCTAGCCATGTGCTTGCGCATGGCAGGCTGCTGGTACAAGGGGGGGAGAGGCATACAGTCGTGGAGAGGCATCCACGACTCCATCATTCTCATGGTTCAGGCCTACAAGGGGGGGGGATGAAGGCCCGAACCCGCGCTCATGGCACAGCTCCATCATGCGCAACATGTGCTTTAAGATGCCATCTTGGGCTCTGGCCATGCGCTTGCGCATGGCAGGCTCCTGGGGGGATGGGAGGGAGAGGGGGGGAGGGGGGAAGGGCATAAGGGGATGACACTGTAGACGAACCAGTGCGCATGGCACCGCTCCATCATGCACAGCGTGTGCTTTAAGATGCCGTCTTGGGCTCTGGCCATCCGCTTGTGCTCGGGCCAGCATATGTGCTTGGGGGAGCACCGCTTGCGCTCGGGCCAGCATATGTGCTTGGGGGAGCACCGCTTGCGCTCGGGCCATGCGCTTGCGCATCGCTGGTTCCTCCCTCAAGGGGGCATGGGATGAGGTGGGTGGTATGATGGATGGAGCCGTGAGGGCATGGAGATGCCTCTTCATCCCTCTTCATCCCTCTTCATCCCTCTTCATCCCTCCTTCCTCGCCCTGCCGCTGACAGCCTCCAAGCCTTAAAACCCGCTGCCCAAATTGCGAGGCGCGGCCTTCAAACGCACTGCGTTTGAAAGAAGCGCTATCGTGGGTGTAGAGTGGGGTAACGTGAGTGCCACTCTGAGGGTGCCTTTCAAGTTCACTGCGTCCTGCAATTTGGAACTCCATGTGTAGCACGTTTTTCGACCGTCCATTTTTCACAGATCTGCATCTGACGGTCCGCACGCAAACTCTTCTTTCCAAAGCACCACCAGTAATTTGGGGCTCAATCTCAACCATCCAAAAATTTGGGGTCGAATCTGACGGTGCACGAACAATTTGCAGTTCACGAGGAAAAACACCCTCGCGATTTTCCCGTGCGTTTCGTAAAACAGCACGCCCAGAGTTCTTACACAGTGCGTTTGAACAATTTGGGCCGCAGGTTTTAAGCAGCCATCAAAAGCTCAAGCGCTTGGAAAGACTCAGCATGTAAAAGGGCCTCAAGTAGCCATCCGGTGGCGCTTAAAGCTCGCCTTTTCAGGTGCTAAAAAGGGTCCTTAAAAGTAGGTGCGAAACTTGGTGGGAAGTCCTTTGATGTTAAACGTGTGTCTGTGTGTCTCTGTGTGTCTGTCTCTGTACGATAGTAGCTCTATAGCCTGCTATGCTTTCACGAGGTGATTTTTGAGTCGACTAAAAAATCACAAACGTGTGTCTCTGCGTTTCTGTGCCATAGCCGACTATGCTTGACACACGAGAGGAACCTACCCCTCTTAGTGTAGCCTGCTAGGCTGTCACGAGTCGCCGCAAGGCTTTGCCTTCTGGCCATTCTTCCGCGGAAGAACGAAACATGCACCGCGCCTTTAAGAAGGGTGCGTTCCTATCTCGTGTCATCTGCTCGTGTCAGCACTTTCGAGCAGTCCCTGACACGAACTATCCAGTTTGTGCTGCTTTACCCGAACTGTCCGGTTTCTGCTGCTCTACCCAAACTGTCCGATCTGCTTCGCCATACACTAAGGAACTATCGGGACACCCAGGGAGACTGAAAACGCTAAGCTGGAGGACCTGATCTGATGAGGTGGATAAGGGAGGGGAAGGGTAGGGAGGAAGAGTTTTGAGTCGACTCATTCCCGAAGGGAATATCGAGGCATCAAGGGGGGCTGAAAACGCTAAGCAGTCGGATCTGATGAGGAGGAAAAAGGAGGGGAAGGGGAGGGAGGGAGAGTTTTGAGCCGACTCAAGAGTTACTGAAGGAAATATCGAGACACCAAGGGGGGCTGAAAACGCTAAGCAGTCGGATCTGATGAGGAGGAAACGGGAGGGGAAGGGGGAGAGAAGGGGGGATAGGAAGGAAAAGAGGAGGGCGGAGAGAGAGAAGGTTGCTAAAATCACGAACTTCCGGTGAAGCCGCTTAACAGTTAGTCAAAGCTTGAAGATTGAAACTAGCTTCAAGTTTGAAGCTTAAAGTTTGAAGTTTGAAATAAACTTCAAATTTGAAGTTTGAAATAAACTTCAAATTTGAAGTTTGAAAAAAGCTTCAAATTTGAAGCTTGAATTCTGGAGCTTGAAAATAGCTTCAAAATTGAAGCTTGAAGTCTGAAGATTGAAACTAGCTTCAAGTTTGAAGCTTGACGTTCGAAGATGGCCCCAGAAGAATAGGAGAATACAAAGTTCCGGGCGTGACAGTGGTAGCATCACGACGATGGGCACTATACTGATAATGCTTATACCAGTGCTAACACACAAACACACTAGCACTTAACTAAGTGCGGCATTATTACCTGCAGCTTCTTCTGCCGCGCCCGTTGCGCCTCCTCCTTAGCTTTCCGCATCTCCCTTAACCGCTGCAGCTTAACCTGATCCCGTTGCACTCTCTTCTCCAACTCATCGATGTCCAACTCATCGTCGCTCAGCCCCTCGTCCTCCGCCTCCTCTTCCGCCTCCCCCCCCGAATTCCCCCTCTCTTCCGCCATCGCCAGAAGCCTCCCCACGGACTCTGCCGCGAGGCCCCCGCTTGCACCTCCGACCGTTTTTCCGCCCCTTTCTACCCCCTCTACTGCGGGGTGAACGGCGGTTTCGCCCATGTCCTCGCCTTCCTCATCTACTCCCCGCGACCGTAACATCCCCCGCGGCCGCTCAGGCCTGGAAGACAGCGTCCCGCTACGCTCAGCTAAGTGCGTGGGTGTGAGTGGCCGGCCTATATTGTGGAAACCCAAGTTTCAAGCACAAAGAACAGTCTAATTCGCTGGTAACGCGACTGAACTCGTACAAAAGCTGGGACGAATTAGTAGTACTACTCGTCTAACAGAAATAGTTAGTCATCTCCGTCTGGTTAGTAAGTCTCCCGAGGTCTAGACTGCGGCGACGTTGAGCCTTGAGATTTGAGAGCCATCCATCAAGCGCCGTCACTCAGTCGCAACACTGTCACGGGCCCTACTAGAACCCTACGAGTAATACTCGGCTTTCTGATGACAGAACCTCAGGTCTAATAGCACTACAGTGTCACGGGCCCTACTGGGCTTCCGAGATTCGTCGACGTTGCGAGAGGCACACCACCAATCGTCGGCCTTCAAGCCCTGGCGGATCCATTTTCACGCGCCAATTTCTAGCGCTCTCATTTTTTCCAGTGGAACGTGGGATGGGAGGTCAACCAACCAACCAAACGTCAACTAGACTGAAACAGTCGGACACCGACGGATTCTGTTCCCGCCTACTCGGAGCGGCAGCAGCAGCGTACAGTACTCCCCCTACCGCGGGCACCGTCCGTCTAAGTCGCTAAGAGGCAGAGACGGATGTTTGGACCAAACGACGGAGTCGGAGCCACGCGCAAGTTTCCCGCCGCAACTTGACAACGCTGCTTGCTCTTGCCTCTCATCCTTCTCATCATCTCGAGGCTCAGCTTGCTACCACAGCACTGCTGGTGTAATACCGTGTAACCCAGCGACTGCTGGTGTATCCGCTACCGCCATGCCGCCAGACCGACGGGAATCCGACCAGAATGTCTTCCACCCGAGAGCCTATCAGGGGTGTTTTCTAGCAGAGCCTCCCCCGCCCCAGCCCGGCGCGCTCAGCGGTGCATGAACGAGGGGAATGGCGGCAGTGCGCCCAACGCAGCCTCGGAGCGGGGAGATCTAGGCGGAGCGGAGTCCGCTTGGTGGCGGGAGGGGTTTCAAGCTTTCACGAGGAGACTCTGGAAAAACGATCGGCCAATCGCGGGAGACCTGATCATTCAATTGCACGGCGAGCGGCATCCCCGACAAGAGCGGCCCGCAGCAATGCTGTGCTGTGCCTGCTGCTGCGTTTGGTTTCAGTATCTACCCCACCCGATTGGTGGAACAGTGAAACGAGTTGAGGAAAAAAACTGACCCCGAAGCATCTATGTTTTGCTGATGTGTGCACTGTTGCTGGCGTTTTACTGTACGCAAAGCTAGCCGCTAAACGAAACCCCAGCAGAGCAGATGGGTTTGTTAATGAGATGGAGCAGACTCGAGGTTCGCTCGGAGGAACAAGAGAACCCCCCTCGGAGTTTGTCGAGAGAGCAGAGCCGAGGCGAGTCAAAAACGCCCGAGCGACGGAGCGCGGGACAACGCCCCTTCCCCCGGGTTAGACGCGAGCTTTCCGCCGCGCTCGCGACGGACGCCGTCGATTTGCGGCGTGGCTTGCGAAAAAAGCGTTCTCCTCCCTCCATCGGCCTCCTGCAATTGATGATGAGTCGTCGCAGCTGGCAGGCTAGGCGAAGGCGACCTCGAGTTTCCCTAAGCGGATCGAGTGGGGTGGAAGGAAGGCTGATGTGGCATGGCATGTGCCGTGGCTGGAAGAACCACACTCGGCGAAACTAGGCTGAACTGCGGAGAAGCCGAGGCTAGGGCGCAACAACAGAAGGCAGAGTGCAAGTGAGCAGCTTGGATTGGGCGTGGGAGTCATTTGAGGTGAGCGGATTATGGGGCGGGCGGACGGTCGGAAGGGGAGAGTTCCGCCTCCCCGCAAACTCTTTGGGAGGTGGCGGAACGAGGCTGTCCGCATGCAAAGAATGTGTGCATCGAGAAGGGGCAGATTCGTTCTCCCAAACCCTAGACAGCTGAGAGTGCGTGGTCAGGATTCGTTGAGTCTTGACAGCGTCGAGGTAGACTCTGTCTTTTGTGTGGCGCCGCGATGACGGAGATGAGGTGTCCAAGTGCAGTGTTTTCGCCGAATTTGGTTGGAGGGAGATCTGGCGAACGGTTGGTTGCAACTGAAGAACATATAGAAAGTAGCTGGATAAAACACACCTACATGCAACAAATATTCAAAAGCTGAATTTTACCACTTTTTGTTAAGGTGCACTTACAATACAAGGTTATCCCATTATCAACATATTCCCCAACCCCCCTATAAAGTAAAATTATTAAAGGATTGATCCCATATCTATCGCAATCCATTAAAATGCTGCGTACCATCATTCTCCACTTTTTACTGATCATAATCAGTTAAAGAAGTTTTTTTTTATCAGGCGTACCGTAGTAGCTCAGATAGAAGACTCATGTGTCTTATCACATACCGTTAAAAAAAAAAACAAAAAAAACCCCATAGTGTCTTATAAACGGGAAAAAACAACATATATGAGGGTCTTATAAACGGAACCATCATAACCTCACCGGAAAAAAAAATATGGAGTAGTTACACCTAAGGTCTGTCAACCGTTTTCATATTGAAGATGTCATTAAAGCGAGAAGTTATAATTGTGAAGGCTGGCCCAACTTGAAAGAGGGCTCCCTCTGAGCGACTCAAGTTGGAAACCAGCTTCAACAAATAACTGTTCCAAAATGGCAGGGGTAGGCAGATCGGAATTTCAGCTCAAAGCTGATTGGGTCCCGCCAAAATGTTGATCGCAGGGCGAAATGCGCGACACGCAAATCTGAAAACGAATCCTTGTCAGGGGTCGCACTTCTCGATACGACACTTGCACGGCGAGTGCAAGCAACGAGTTGGGGCTCTCGGATCGAGATGGGCCCAACTCATTTTTCAAGTTGGGCCTGTGTTCACAATTGCCGAGGATTCACCACCTTCCCCACGCAAAGTGACATCCAGCTAGCAAAAAATCACCGAGAAAGCAAGCTAGTTCCGCTAGCTGCCCCACCGCATAGAAACTTGGTGCCGATAGAGCTGTGAGAGAGAGTGTGGCGCTGCGGGAGAGATAGAGAGGGAGAGACGCGGGGAGAGAGGGAGAGACGCGGCGAGAAAGGGTGAGACGCGGCGATAGAGAGAGAGAGAGACGCGGGGAGAGGGAGAAACGCGGGCGAGAGAGGGAGAGAGAGGGAGACGCGGCATGAGCGGAAGAGACGAGGAAGCGGGGAGAGAGGGAGAAACGCGGCGAGAGAAGGAGAGACGTGGGCGAGATACGGAGAAACGCGGGCGAAATCCGGAGAAACGCAGGCGAGAGAGGGAGAGAAAGGGAGGCGCGGCGTGAGCGGGAGAGATGAGGCCAGAGATGGAGAGACGTGGCGAGAGAGGGAGAGACGCGGGGAGAAAGGGTGAGACGCGGCGATAGAGAGAGAGAGACTCGGGGAGAGAGGGAGAAACGCGGCGAGAGAGGGAGAGTCGTGGGCGAGAGAGGGAGAAACGCGGGCGAGATACGGAGAAACGCGGGCGAGATACGGAGAAACACGGGCGAGCGAGGGAGAGAGAGGGAGACGTGGCGCCAGCGGGAGAGACGAGGCCAGAGATGGAGAGACGTGGGGAGAAAGGGTGAGAAGCAGCGATAGAGAGAGAGACGCGGGCGAGATAGGGAGAAACGCGGGCGAGAGAGAGAGAGACGCGGGCGAGATACGGAGAAACACGGGCGAGAGAGGGAGAGAGAGGGAGACGTGGCGTCAGCGGGAGAGACGAGGCCAGAGATGGAGAGACACGGCGAGAAAGGGTGAGACGCAGCGATAGAGAGAGAGAGAGACGCGGGCGAGATAGGGAGAAACGCGGGCGAGAGAGAGAGAGAGACGCGGGGAGAAAGGGTGAGACGCAGCGATAGAGAGAGAGAGAGACGCGGGCGAGATAGGGAGAAACGCGGGCGAGAGAGGGAGAGACGCGGGGAGAAAGGGTGAGAGACGCGGTGAGAGAGAGAGAGAGAGAGAGAGAGAGAGAGAGAGAGAGAGAGAGAGAGAGAGAGAGAGAGAGAGAGAGAGAGAGAGAGAGAGAGGCATCGTTAGCGGTAGAGGCGCGATGAGAGAGTGGGGGAGTGACGCGGCGTGGAAGAGAGTGGCGCGGTTAGAAGGAGAGAGGCGGAGGTGAGAATAGGGAGAGAGTGGCGCAGCGGGAGAGAGAGAGAGAGAGGAGGAGGAGCGAGCGTCTCGCCATGCCACTCCCTTCCCGCTGCGCCACACTCGCTCGCCCCTCGCTCCCACCATATCTCCCTCTCTCCACACCTCTCGCGCGTATCTGTCCCCACTCATGTATGATCACATGCCCTCGATTTTTGCATTCGCTCGCTCACTCTCTCTTTCTCTGATATCTTGCACTCAGTCTTCGGTGAAATGTTTCGCTTTGCAGGGCTTGGAAGTGACATCTGACGAGGAAGGGTGTGCCTTGGCTTCCAAAATTTAGATCCGCAGCTAGTTTTGTCGCAGCGTAGCGAGTGATTGTGTTATGCGACAATCAGGCAAAATGTCAGTTGGTAATCTTTTCGCCAAGGATCGGCCATGTAAGAATTGTCGGGGAAAAAAAAAACACGCCTCCCAAGGTTCCAACCAATACACTCTTGATCCGAAACATTTCGAGTTGGGTCCAACTCGAAGTGGGGGTCATTATTATAGCTTCTCGCTTTAAGGGGCCGATTTTGTCGGCGATAAGAGTTTAGGCTCAGTTGGACACGTGTGAGATGCAACAAGGGAAGGACGAGGGTGTGTTGGCAGGTATTTTGCAACCCTCGTCAACTGGACGTCACGTTTCAACAATCCCAGCCGTTTATCTGGCATTGGCTCACACAAATCCAGGGGATAGGGTGGGCTGTCACATGATGCGTCAGCAAAGTGTCCTCAGTGAGGACACATTCCTCTACGGGGAACCACAAAGTGAATTGTGATAGTGTTGTCGGAGGTGGGAAGACCCCCCTCTTCTGCTCTTTTGCAACTCACGTTCTCGAAAAATGCATCAGCCTAGTGTGCCTCTGCCTGCCGTGCCTTAGCCATCTGTGGCTTAGCGAGATGCGTAGCAAGCACCGTCCGCCATGGAGGGAGACTCATGACGAACGGCGCCCTTCAGCAGGTAGTACACCACCAAGGGTGTATGTCAACATTTTTGGCAGAATTAACTCCCCTTGCGACACCATCAACAGTAGTGTCCTGCGTGTCCGAAAGGCCTCTGTTAGTCGTTCACCCCTCACGGCTTCTAACGACGATGCAGACGATGGGGGCAACGACGCGGACGGCTCGGAGTGCAACGCCGTTGACGACGAATACGAATGGTGGGCAAGGCCCATCAGATTCGACGATGAAGTAGAAGAATGGCACGCGGGCGTCGAGGCAGGCGGCAGGATGGTGCTGCTATAGGCGACGAGAATGCCTGCGGGGTGAGCGATGATGCGGGCGACGAGAACGCGTGTGAGGTGGGGCGACGATGCGGCCGACGAGAACGCAAGCGGGGTGGGCGACGATGCGTCCGACAAGACCGTGTACGAGAAGGATGGCGATGCGTCGAGTATCTGAGCGGTGAGGAAGGCAACGATGCGAACTACGACGAGGCTGACGATGGTGCCGATGATACGAGCAACGAATCGGGTGATGCCGGTGACGCCGACAATGACTTCGATGCAGTAGTGGCGTCAGCGGGGCGATGTCGCGGTGGGGCGAAGCGGCGGAGCTCGAAGCGGACGGCTGACAAGATGGAACGCGTCGAGTGCAATGCCGTTAACGACGACTCGACCGGTCACATGTCCGACGAGGGCATGCCGATCCAGAAATGCCGTGTTCTCTTCGAGGTGCAGGGTCGCAAGCGGCGGCAGGATGGTGCTAGCAACGATGAACGCGGGGGAACAAAGCGAAAGAAACTAACCAAATAGTCCCCAGCGAAGCGTGTATGGCTGTCGAGGGAGGAGAAAGGGAAAGCAAAATCCCGGGATGAGCATCGCATGGGCAAACGCAAGCGAGCCGCCGACAACGACACGCAAAAGTCCGCCAAGCGGAACACCAGCCAACCGGAATGCAATATGGCCGAGGAGAACTCCGACGACGCCTACGCGGAAGTGGCAGGCCCCATCCCTATGTTCCCCAAGGGCAAGAAGCACAGTGATCCAAGGACCAAGAACCCCGATGCGCAACCACCCTCGCCGCGTAGTAAAGCCAACAAGAAGCAGCAACGCACCTTCATGGTCGGCGAAAAGGCGCGGTGAGCGCTGCCGTATCATGAGTTGGGGTCACTCATGCGGACGGCACAAGAAGCGGGCCTCTGACAGTGCTCCATCCGCCTCTTGGTGGAGGCAGATATTAAGGGACAGTACGAGGGGGCTGCGAAGTGCAGGAAGAGGCTATATAGTGCTGGCCGGTAGCGCATCACACCGAGATGGAGGAGACGCTCGCCAAGTACGTCTGCGAGCAGCAGACTCGGGGCCTGGCGGTCAGCGTCAACGACATTCGGGAATGGAGCCGAAAGTACATGCGTAGACGTGACCCACGTACCAAGTGGCAGGGGTCGAACCGCTGGAGCCAACGGTTTCGCAAGCGGTCGGGATTCACACTACGCTGCCGAACGAAGGTTAGGCAGAAGCTCTTCTTGTGCCCTGTGGATAAGTGTATGCCTCTATCTACGTTTGTCTTTGTGCTGAGCCTGTGTTCTCTGTCTCTGAATCTGTCTGTTGTGCAATGCTTTTATTCACTGTCTATGCATCTGTCTCTTGTGCAAAGATGTGCCTCTGTCTTGTATCTATGCGCTTGCTAAGGCCCCTCCGCCCCCGCCCCTTCCCACCCACCACAGAATGCGCCGCAGACTGTGAGGGGTTTTGGAAGTTCGTTTGCATCAACCGCGCCCGTCATCAGATGGACTTACGCCGCATAATCAATGTCGATCAAACTTCTCTTTTCGTGGAGATGCCAGCAGGCCGGACTTTGGAGCAGAAGGGGTCCCGTTCGGTGTCGGTGAAGACCGCTGGATACGAGAAGCAACGCTTAACTGTGATGCTAGCATGCACGGCCAGCGGCGACAAGCTCGGGCCGTGGATTAATGTGGGTAAGGGAAGTCGGCAAAACGGATCCGTAACCTCGGGAAAAGGATTGGCTCCGAGGGCCGGGCCCGGGGGGCTGCGCCTCGACGCCGCAGGCTGTCGGAGGTCTACCCGACGCCGGTTCACCCCGGTAAGGGCGGGCCCCCGCATGCCTGCTGGCCGACGGGCGCAGAGCGGTCCCTTCACGGGGACCCTCCCCTGGGCGGAGAGCGGTCGTCTCGGAAGTGGCGCGGACAAGGGGAATCCGACTGTTTAATTAAAACAAAGCATTGCGATGGTCCCGACGGATGTTGACGCAATGTGATTTCTGCCCAGTGCTCTGAATGTCAAAGTGAAGAGATTCAACCAAGCGCGGGTAAACGGCGGGAGTAACTATGACTCTCTTAAGGTAGCCAAATGCCTCGTCATCTAATTAGTGACGCGCATGAATGGATTAACGAGATTCCCACTGTCCCTTCCCACTATCCAGCGAAACCACAGCCAAGGGAACGGGCTTGGAAAAATCAGCGGGGAAAGAAGACCCTGTTGAGCTTGACTCTAGTCTGACATTGTGAAATGACTCACGAGGTGTAGCATAAGTGGGAGGGAAACCGCCGATGAAATACCACTACTCTTGACGTTATTTTACTTAATCCGTGAGGTGGAGGCGGGGCATTGCCCCTGATTCTTGCCTAAATCCAGGCGGATCCAGGCGGATGACATTGTGAGGTGGGGTGTTTTGCTGGGGCAGCACATCCGTTAAACGATAACGCGGGTGTCCTAAGGCGAGCTCAACGAGAACAGAAATCTCGTGTGGAGCAAAAGGGCAAAAGCTCGCTTGACTTTGATTTTCAGTACGAACACAAGCCGTGAAAGCGGGGCCTATCGATCCTTTAGCTCTTCGGAGCTTGAAGGTAGAGGTGTTAGAAAAGTTACCACAGGGATAACTGGCTTGTGGCAGCCAAGCGTTCATAGCGACGTTGCTTTTTTATCCTTCGATGTCGGCTCTTCCTGTGTGGTTCAAGCGCAAGACCATACCCAAATGTGAATGTCCCTCGGGTAAGCCTTCCACGTCTCGCCCTGCATGCACTCCTAAACCCTCCCATGTTGTGAACGTACGACCTGCTGTTTGACTCACATACATCCGACTTGTGCGTGCGTTCTGCAGGGGTCGAAGTGCAGGCGCAAGAGAACGGCTGGATGGATGAGGCAGCCGTGAAGAAGTGGCTGGAGAAAGAGGTTCTCCCCTTTCTCAACACGAAGCGTGGGATGCCAGCGCGACATGCCATGCTTGTGCTAGACTCGTACCGTGGTCATCTCACCGATGGGATGAAGCACGCGTACATGGCGCATTGCATCGTCCCTGCCATCATTCCAGCAAGGTGCACGCCGTTAATTCAACCCCTTGATGTTTCCATCAACAGGTGTTTTAAAGCGGGGGTGAGGGCATGCTATGCAAATTGGTTTGCAAATCACGACATCAATCTACACACCGCCAAAGGTACGCCAACAGTTCTGATTTCTCCCCGCCTGCATCCCTGAATGCACCTTGCCCGCGTACTTGAATGCACCTTGCCCGCATTTCTGGCTTCTTCTATGATTTTCCCGCTCGAATCACTTGCCTGGCAAATCTGCTACCGATGCATGTGCTAGTGCTCCATGAAATCCCTACTCCCTCCAGGAAACCCGCACCGCTCGCCCCACCCTGTGGTACTGAAGTGGATCAACCGAGCATGGCGCGATGTGCCGTGTGACATCATCGTGCGAGCATTCAGGACCTGCGGCATTTCAAGCTCCATGGATGGTACAGACAACAACTTGGTGCTCCAGCACATGCGTGGGGAGCCAGTTCTCAACATCTCTGAAGACATGTCCCTGCAAGTGACGAGTGGTAACAATGCATGTTTCGTGGAAGAGCGGGAGGCAGAGGAGGGGGAGGCGGGAGAGGAGGGAGAGGAAGGAGAGGAGGGAGAGGAGGGAGAGGAGGGAGAGGAGGGAGAGGAGGGAGAGGAGGGAGAGGAGGGAGAGGAGGGAGAGGAGGGTGAGGAGGAGGGAGAGGAGGAGGGGGGGGGGGTGGAGCGGTGGAGCTAGAAGAGGAGGATCCGTACCCAGAGACTGAGAAGTGCCATGGCGCAGCAGCAGAAGCCGAGAAGCTGACAGAGCATGAGAGCACTGCGAGGCATGCCTAGGGGGTGCTAGATTACACCTAGCACCCCCCAGCAGGACAAGTAGATGAGGAGGGGGCCTGTGATTTTAGTACTATGGAGACCCATGAGGATTTCTAAGAGACTACTCTTGTCCTAGTTCTGCATTGATGACTGAATGCATGGAATTCTGCCTTATTTTTTAGAATAACATCTTTTAAAAAAAGAGGGGGAGGGGGGGGTGGGGGGGGGGTCTTATCTTATACTGTCCCGTAAGGGTCTTATAAACGGAATGCCATAATACAAGATAGACGCCTACTATAAGACCCAGGGTATTCTATTACTGGGGGGTCATCTATCCGAGCTAATACGGTACTACCCGGATGGCATTCAAAGATTACGAATATTGTAAGGAATTTCCATTCCTTACTGAGTCGCCCGCTACCGCGTACACCCGAACACTTCGACTCATCACGTTCGGCCTACATTTTCGGCCCAACCCTTTCTCGAGTCGCGCCCGACAGCGTCGCCACATTTGCCGAACCTACCCACGTCCCGAGGTTATCGCCCTATTACGTCCACTAATATATAACCTTGTGCTTTCATGGCAATAGTGACGTTGTATTCTCATCATAGTACATTGACATCTTCTAAATCATAACAGCTGGTATCAGAGCCCGACCTTTCTCGGAACCTTCCATTTTCCCCGTTTGTTAGTTAAGGGTGGTCAGAGGGGATTAACACGGCTGCACAGCAGTTGCCTTTGATCGTAAATATTTTTACGTCAACAACTACAGCGTGTGCGCTAGTTTCTGCCCCGTCCTGACCGCCATGGCCCCGGTAGACTCGACGGTTGAGGAACAGACAACCTCGACTGCTGCGAACTCTACCCGGGAAACAGTAGACCTGCAAGCATTAATGGAGCAGTTGAATAATTTGACAAGCGTCGTCAACAACCTCCGTGACGAAAACCAACGACTTCGCCAGGCGCAGGAAAGGCGTTCAGAGGAGCCAGGCGACGATGCACGAAGCGAGGCGCGTGAGCAGCAACCGACACCAGTGGAGCTGGCACGGCTAGCGGCGACAGCCCCGCGCTCGACAAGTGGCGGCGTGAGATATCAGCAACCTGCTCCTTTCGACCCAGCTAATAAAGGCGTGACGGTGCGGCAGTGGATATTCGCCATGAATATCTACTTTAACGCGGCGGGCATCCGAGACGACCAGAAGCGGATCGGCCACGCGTTGACACTGCTGCAAGGGGCCGCCCTACAGTGGTGGAAGGTCATCGTCGACTCAGCGGCAACTCGCACAGAAGGACAGCATGAGTGGTCCGAAGAATTCGGCGACGAAGATGAAGCAGATTTGCTGTTTGGTACAACTCACATTCGCACGTGGGCAACGTGGTGCGCAGAGCTTCGGAAGCGGTTTGAGCATGCTCCTGACTCAGACAAAGCGCGCGAGACTCTACGCATGTGGAAGCAGCTGGGAGCTGTGTCCGACGACACCGCGTCATTCTTGACGTTGGTGGATCGCTGTGGCTACATGCACGAGTTGGAGAAGGTCGACAGGTACATGGGCGGGCTGAAGCCTGAAATACAGACCCAGATAAAATTACAACGACCTGTGAAACGGTTACAAAACCAACTCGCTGAAGACGCTGATTCGCTCACGAAGCCGAGGACAAACTTCTACGACGGAGGTCGCCCTCGAGAACAGTACCAGCGCACCACGATAAAAAGGATGGACGCAGTGGACATTTACGCAGTTGCTCCGCGAAATACGGGGCTATGCTACCACTGTGGCCGACCGGGTCACATCAAACGCAACTGCCAAGAGTTCATAGCCATCCAGAATTCTATGGGGAAGAAGCCGGAGGAGCGACCGGGAAATGGGTCGCGTCAGTAAGTACCGGGCCCCTTACTGACGGGCAGGCTTCTTCGCTCAAACCACATAGTCCCCACCGGGTCGTGATCCCGATTGCTGCAATCGACCGTACCCGGACGAATAAGGGGGACGAAACTGCTGATCGCCCTGTGTTGGTGGAGGGTAAAGTCAACGTCGCCGATAACAGCGGAAGATATCACGAAGCTGTGTGAAGCCGTTCCTCCGAATTTAGCGGAACTCATTCGAAAATACCCCGAGATTTTCCCGGACGACCTACCCACCGGACTTCCGCCAAGCCGACCTGAAGACCATCGCATCGAACTGGAACCCGGCGCACAACCGACAGTTCAGCGACAATTTCGCCTCAGCCAACCGGAACTCGATGAATTGCAGCAGCAGTTAGATTACCTCATGACGAAAGGTTTTATCCGCCCAAGCACATCCCCATACGCCGCCCCCATACTGTTCACACCGAAAAAAGATGGCGGATTCTGTATGTGCATCGACTACCGCGCACTCAACCGCATCACCATCAAGTCCTGTTACCTAATCCCGCGAGCCGACGACCTACTCGACCAACTTTGCGGAGCCAAGTTCTTCTCGAAAATCGATCTGCGAGGAGGTTACCACCAAATCCGCGTCGCCGCCGAGGATTGCCACAAGACCGCCTTCCAAACCCGCTACGGTAGTTACGAATACCTGGTGATGCCCTTTGGACTCACGAACGCGCCCTCGACCTTCCAGATGACCGTGAACGGAGTTTTTCGCGAACTCCTGGATAAATGCATTATTATCTACCTCGACGACCTCCTAATATACAGCCGCAGCAGGGAGCAGCACTTAAAGGATCTTGATGCTGTCTTCACGCTGCTGCACAAGAATCGCCTCATCACGAAATGGTCTAAGTGCGACTTTCTTAAGCAGGAGTTGGAGTTTTTGGGCCACGTCGTCTCTACCGAACGCGGTAAAATCGACCCCAGGAAAATCAAGACCATACAGGAATGGAAGCCGCCGACCAACCTCAAGGAACTCCAAAGTTTTCTGGGTTTTGTCAACTACGTCCGCCGCTTTATTCCCAATATGGCTGGGTTATCTGCACCGCTAACCGACCGATTGAAGGATCACGATTGTTTTTGGTGGGGTGAGAAGCAGCAAGCTGCATTCGATCAACTCAAAATCGCCCTCACGTTGCCGCCCGTCCTTCGCATCTCCGATCCCAACCGTCCATACGAAGTCGTCACCGACGCCAGCGACATCGCCATCGGTGCAGTTCTCCTCCAGGACTTCGGCGACGGGTTAAAACCAGTCGCCTACGAATTACGGAAGCTGCGGGGAGCGGAAAAAAACTATACACTCAACGACTAGGAAATGCTGGCGATCGTCCACGCGTTCAAGACCTGGCGGTGCTACCTGACCGGAGCTGATGTCACAGTGCGGACGGACCACAAAATCCTTACAGTACCTGCGCGCCCAACCGAATCTCAACCCACGACAGATCCGATGGCTCGATTTCCTCGAGTCCAACTTCCACTACACCATCACCTACAAACGGGGTGCCAATAATATCGCCGATGCCTTGACCCGCCCTACTGTCCATACCGCTGCGATACTAATCGCCCAGACCAACCCATT